AACTCAACAGTTTTTCTCGTAGGTCTGGTGAGAATAATATTTGGGGGGAGACCTTAGATGGCAAGAAAGTGAATATCGTTTTCGATGAGCCGGGCATGGCAGAGCTCCTTATGCGGCAGTTCACGGGCCGCGTGCAGGAGGTGGACTCTCACTGCACTCGACTGTGATTGCCATAGCGGCTGCCACGTGTTTAGGTCACGACTGATGTCAGCCGATTTGCCCAGGCGCTCGGGGTAAGAGGCTTCTCGAGCCCCCCTCCAGTGCGGAGGTCGACCAATGACCAACACAGCCGAGGTGAAAGACTTGTGAGGGGATTAGTTAGCACTGTTGGTGGTGATCAGGTTGGAGAGCAGTTAAAGTGACCAAGAAGGGCTGACCGCAGCTGATCTATTCCTCCGTACATTGCTAACCGAGCCATCACCTGCGGCCACTGTTGTTGTTGTGGTCCCTCTGTTGTGAGATGATGTTGTGTCTTGTCAAGTTGTGAGGTGTTCTCGTGCTGCTTACATGTTATTCGATGGTGTCCTTGTTCACACTTCCTTGTTGAGTTGGCACTGCTTTCGGTGGCGACAACGCATGCGATTCATTGAGATTTTAGAATTTTTTGTGATGTTGGTAGTATTCCTACTCCTCGTTACACTGTGGCAGTGAAGTAAAATGTGCCAAGCTTCCTCGCTCGCCGGAGATAAAAATTTCCTCGAGGAAAAATTCCTCAGAGTCTAAGGCAGCCTCAGACTCTGAGGAATATCTATTGAATAGATATAGTGTATATTATAAACTATATTTACTGTAAGGCGACAGATTCGCCGCCACAGTGACTGTGGTAAGCCGGGCAATGTCTGACTTCTCAGGTGTGATTTGTTGTTGACAACAATTTGTTGTAATCAATGGAGTTCCACCCGTGATATGAACAACACCAGTGAAAAACATATTTCACGACTACGGCGTATCGCGAACATCGGGTTTTTCGCCGAGTTTTACGCCACTTCACGTAAAACGGGTTGTGAAACTTTAATGTTGAACACAACAATATATGATTGGACTCATAGTGCAGGAGACAACACTTTATGAGAAATCCACATTGTATTCTCAGCCATGTTTGAACTACCCGATGTGATTTTTCCGCTCGACCAATCTAACCTGCGTTCTCATTTTACGGTTTCTCTATCAGTTCCCTCTGGCGATGTATCGCAGCGTGTTGCTATGATGTGTGTTATTCATGTCGAGTTCTTGCTAGAACTAGGGGAGGATTAATAGTAGTTTTTGTGTTTTTACAGCATGCTGCACTTGTATGTGCCTCTGCTTGCTCTAACTGCTGCAAGATTGGTCAACAGCGAGGTGAGTCAGTGCCCACCACAAGTCCCTTTCAGGCTGCGAATGAATCTCAGGACTCCCTAGGCCCCCCGATTCCTGATATACCGGACCTGGACTTGGACGCACTACCAACCGAGGCAGAGGCGAAGAAGGATCTCGAGGCTGGAGCTGCATCAGGAAACATCGACCCGACGTTGCCGAGCTTTCCCATTGATCCTGTGAGTCCGCAGTCCAGCATCTTAGCAGTTCTGATCGAGTGGGTTTCGATGAATATATCACATTTTAAGTGTGCATTTAACATCAAGGTATCACTTGAATATGTGTGTCGATCGTATGTGATTTTGGCTTCTGTCTGTCGGAGAAATAATGCCCCTCGGAAGTATCGTGGCAGTTCGGAGGCATTGGCAGGCTCTACTGGTAGAGGCGAATCCTCAGATACCCGCGGAAAGCGGCGAGTATAAGTCGTACGATGACATGGCTCGTGATGAGGACGATGATGATTCGTATGCGACTCGGCCGATCAACGAGGATGATATGATAGACGAGGATGACAACATCTCTGTCGAGCCCAGCTCAGATGATGTCAGCAGTGACGAGGTAAGTCCATGCTGGTGGTGACACGTCGAATGTGGCTGCGATAGTAACTCGAGATGGATACGATCTTTGGCTGTCAGGTACCAGAACAAGCATTCCTCACGCCTGTTGTTGATGCTAATGGGGTAAGTAGATGAGTCTGAGGTGGTTATTTTGCCTGATACATGACTTAGTAGAGTAGGAAACGTGTGTGGTCGCGAGTTCGATTCTTGCCGGCTGTATTTCATTTTATTCTCACTTGAATACTCTGTGTGTCATTACAACAGCCTCTGTCATCAGCCTCACTTTCTCCAGACCTCCGACTCTGCTGAAGAAGCGCCCGATGTAACCAATGAACTAACTGATGAGCCTCACGCGTCGTCCGAGGATACTCTAAGTGAACCCGAGGAGCACGGAAAGGAGATGGAGGCTACTGGCCCGGAAGAAGTTGCCAATGAGGATGAGGTATCTCCAACAGAGGTACGTCGAAGTGTGGCATATCCATAGTTGTTGTGTCTATGGTATTCTCAACATGTTACTCTCAGGAACAACCGGAGACGGGAGACTCAGTCGATAAAACATCAGATGAATCTACTGACGATGCAGAGGAAGATGATAAGAACGAAGAAGGAAGAGGAACAGATGAGCGATCGTCGCAGATGACCACGGTTAGTGATACTTGTGGTCGTCTCTAGATCCACGAGATGTTCATTAGGCTGAAATACTGGAGCATTGCCCTGCTGTCTCTTTCGAGGGCCGCCCATATTCCAAGATTTCCTCCATCTGGGATGGTGGTTTCATGGTCGGTTACTCCTGCCTAAAAATTCCCAATGGGAGCTCTTCGTTAGGTACCCCATGGACAGGGCGAGGATCATGACGAATCATCCTCCGATAGGATCGAGTGCGCTGGAGCCGAGTCTCGACATGAGCCCGGCGCTCGTTATCCTGAAGTGTCCACCCTCTGCAGGAAACCCGGCTCAGAGGGGGTATTCGACACGTGGGTTAGTCTCAAGTGCTTCAACAAAGAGGCTGCAAATATCGTAGCCCGGAAATGGAACACGTACTCGGTGAGAATACTCATCTTCGGTGTGCTTGTTGGGTGATTTACCTATGCCATTCAGGATAGCAAGATAGCCGCCGCATGCACCACTCTCGACTTTGGTGATCGCATGGAGAGAATCAGCGAGGTGAACAATGACAGACGTGAAATTGAGGTGGGAATTCTTCGTCCGACTCGAGTTGTCTCATCTGCCGCTGGTGACCATCGCAGTTCGTGGATCCGAGCAGCGCTGCCCTACGCTGTGATGCGGCCACTTCCCACCCTACTACCGGCACCGGGGGCCTGTCTCTCACCTGCTCCGGGATAAGCGTGAAGATCCTGTGCTCCTCGGACAACGCCGCGGCGTTCTTAGCCGCTGAATGGGACGCCCCGGTTTCCCACCCGAGAC